AGCTTTTTTCAAAATCACGTAATACATCTATATGTCATATTATAAATTATAAGCTTGATATGAAATTCATCACACAGAAATACTAGTTCATTTGATATTTTGAATAAAAATTAATTATACTTTTATTTTTTAACAGGCTTGAGCACTTATTATTAACTTTACAATTTTTAACATTATTATAAGAAATTAAGCGAGAATGGTACTTTTACGTTAGTAATATCGTTATCTTATAAATACAAAAATGTGTCATTTATCAGTGCCTAAATGATTAAGCATAAACTGTTATTAAAGTTTATTTATAATTAAAAAGTATTCTTAAAAACCAGTTCATTTTAAACCAAAAAGAACTACTCCTCATGTATATTTTAAAATATCTTGCCGAAATAATATGCTTCCTTTTTTGAAGTACCTTTGGGAGTGTCACCATAGAAACATCTAAATGTTTCTTGTAAAAAACAACAAAGTGCAATCACTATTCAAGACATTTTCAATTTTGTTCATTCTTTTTTTTTTGTAAAGACGAATAATTACACCTAATGAGGAAAAATTAATAAGAGAAAATTTGTTCAAGCACTCCATACTCCAAACTTTATAAGTAAACTCACACAGGCTCGATGAGAGGTGGCGGTTTCACTACCTTCGTATGAATATTCTTTGGATCTACCAAGTCGGCTACATAGAGACGCACTACAGGATTTGGTGTTCCTGGCTATAAAATCGAAATCAATATCTAATAATCTTTCATATCTATAATTGATAAATTATTAGTCAAAATGTAGTCAGTAACAAACAGACTATTAAAATAAAATTATCTGCATATATGTACATACATATTTTCTCTAACACTATTTAGATTGGAATTAAGATCATTTTCAACGTTTTAAAAATTAATTACAATATTGTACTTGTATCAAATGAAGCATCAGAACATAATATTCTTAGAAAATAAAGCAGCAAACGTTTCTTAAAAAAAAATATGCTTCTACCAATACATAACCATCAAGATCAGTCAAATTATAATAGTCAATTTAAAAAAATTTATAGAAATAAATTTACCTTAGGATAACGCAAAGATCGTATATCAGGATATAAAGCTTTATTCCCTTCTCCAAACCAAGATATATGCATTTCCTCAACAAGTGAATCATTAAAAGAAGCATATAGCATCATGCGACTATCTGATGACATCCAAATTGCTTCTGCATGGTGTAGGATCTCCTCTGTAGATACATAAAAAGTATATTCCAATATTCATGTTATTCAATATAATTGCAAATCTATCATATGTTTCTGAAGAATCTCAAATGTATTTCTGTTATATTACCTTCATAGAGCCAGTCTGGTAATCCATTTGATAAAATACCAGGAATTGCAGTGTCAGTAACTCTATATCCTATGTTACTTTTAGGACTTGTTATATAATAAATATCATAGTCTTGCACCATAACTAATCCATGATCACGTGGAGTCCATTGAGCTAACAAAAGATAGGGATGGACATCCCTCTCAGGATATGGAGTCAATGGTATAGTTTCTCTGTAACAATAAAAGCAACTTCTTTATTGAATTAAGTCTTTAAAATATATACATTTATCTGAAATTAATATTTACAGGTATTTTCATATAACTGGATTATAGAGTTTCAAGAGAGACTCATTTACTTATATAGATTTCCTAATTAAGTTAAATTAACATTATTTTTTCAATTGTTTTTACTTACCGCGTGTTCACATCATAGATTGTATATTGTGCTAAATATGAGTATCTGAAGAGTTTCTTCACATTGTGTGCAAGTAGCAAATAATTATGATCCGGTGACAATGAGAACTTGGCAGGATTCAGTATCCTCTGTATGCAAAATACCTCTTAATGTTGTGTTTTTGTGCTAGAAAGCCTAAGTATAAATATACAAATATTTGCTAATAAACATAATTTTCTGTATCTATAGGTATTTAAATGACATACATACCTGTTAAATATAATATTTTATTTTATATTATTTGATTAAACTAACTATGATATGACTAAAAATATGTGTATAATTAACTTGAACTCACAAAAGTTTCATTGGGCATTAAACTGCGGGAAGTGATGTTTTTTGGCAAAACGTGCAGTAGTGAAATTCCACCCCACATGTCCCGGTAGCAAATGTGCTGTTCGCTTACCCATGACCCGTTAAAGAGGAGAGGTGTTAATTCTCCAGAAAGAACCTGGACAGTATTCATCTTGTATTAGAATAATATTTAGAATTTTTTTTATTAATATTTCACGAATGATATAATTCTTAAGTCTATACTTGTGATATAAAAAAATTTCACAAAGACTAATGGAATTACACTCTTGAAAAATAATTTAAAAGGTATAACGTTACGAATAATATATGAATATATAATAGTTTAATTTATAACACTATACGAATATTATTCTTTACCTCAGAAAGTCTTAATCTAGCGCCTTGTACTCTGGGGCCTTCATCAGGTGGTGTTAATAAGGCAACCGATGTCACAATCAAAGCGAGGACCGCAACGATCACGAGTAAAGCTATCAAAATGCCACGCCAATTCCTTTGATTTGGATTTGTTGATACTAGCTCCTATCACAAAGTTACTCACTAATGCCAGTGTCAGGTAATTGGGTGTAATAAATATTTAAACAATTTCGACTCAGCTCGAGTTAGCAAACATACTCGCATTTTTATTTCATTTACTTTATTGTTTCTTATTAATTTGGTTTAACAAATTTTTATTTCACGTATTATTATAAAAACAACAGCATCTTACGAATTAGCAAATTTTATTTAACGCTAAATTAAATTATATTTAAAGGCGTCGAAAGAATTGTGGAATTAAATTAAAAGGGGAACGTTACAACTTAAACTGAAGAGTTCATAATAAATTTGCAATTATTTTTCTATAAAATGACCTTAAATATTCAAACTAAAGCATCACGAAATTACACGTTTTTGTCTTAAAACAGATTATAAAAGTATAATTTTGCATATAACGAAAGCTAATTGAATAATTAGTAAGTTTTATTATATGCATATTTTATGTTCATTTTAAGCAGTAAATTAT